GGAGCCAAGCTCCCCGAAGACTTGAAGACCGACATCATCAGCGCCCTCCGCGCCTACTCCATTATCTTTGCATGGGGGCCGGAGGACATGCCGGGAATAAGCCGAAGGGTCATCACCCACTGCCTCTCGGTGGACCCTTCGGCAAAAGCAATACAGCAACGAAGAAGACCCCTCTCCGCCGAAAGGAGGGAATTTGTGAAGAAGGAGGTTGCCATGCTCCTTTCTATTAAGCACATCAGGGAGGTAAAATACCCCTCATGACTGGCGAACGTAGTCCTCGCACAGAAGCCTCCTACCTTCCGCATGTGCGTGGACTACACGGATCTCAACAAGGCGTGTCCTATGGACCCTTTTCCTTTGCCCAATATCGATCAACTTGTAGATGAGACCGTGGGGTGTGAAATCATGTCATTCCTCGATGCATTCCGCGGGTATCATCAGATCTTCATGCATGTGGAAGACGCCGAAAAAACAGCCTTCATGACTCCCGAGGGTATCTTCTGCTACCTAGTGATGGCCTTCGGCCTAAAGAACTCATGGGCCACTTACACCCGAATGGTGGCCCGAGTCTTTCAAGCCGTCCTAGCCTCCTAGGGCGCACCATGGAGGCCTATGTTGACGACATGATCGTCAAAAGCAAACAATCTTCCAGCCATGCCGACGACCTCTGGGAAATCTTCGTCATCATGCAAAAGTTCAACCTTCGGCTAAACCCGAAGAAGTGCACCTTCGGCGTCCAAGGGGGCAAATTCTTAGGCTACATGGTGAGCCGAAGGGGTATTGAGGCCAATCCCGAGAAGATCCAGGCCATCATCAACATGGAGCCCCCACGCAATGTGAAGGAAGTTCAACGGTTGACGGGCCGCCTGGCAGCCGTCAACCGCTTTCTATCTAAATCAGCGGAGAAGTCTTTACCCTTCTTCCAGATCATGAGGAAGACGACTGGCTTTCAATGGACTTCAGAATGCCAGGAGGCTTTCGACGAACTCAAACGGTACCTATCTTCACCCCCTGTGCTCTCTAAACCAAAGGTAGGGGAGACCCTCTACCTCTACCTTGGGGTCAGCCCGGCAGCCATCAGCTCTGTGCTCATCCGGGAGGAAGACGGCATCCAACATGCCATCTTCTATGTAAGCAAGACCCTAAGGGAGGCCGAGCTCAGGTACTCCCCTGTGGAAAAAACGGTGTTAGCCATCGTTTGGACCGTCAAGAAGTTGGGCCACTACTTTCAGGTCCACCCGGTTCAGGTCCTCACTCATCAACCCCTCGGCACCCTCATGAGGAGCCCCACCAGCTCCTCCCGCATGGTGAAATGGGCTATCTTCTTGAGCTAATACAACATTGACATCCGTCTGAGGCCTGCCATCAAGGGCCAAGCCCTGGCGGACTTTGTGACGGAGTGTACCGCAAGGGCAGCCACGGACGGGGAGCCCTCGGCTACCTCGGTTGACTGGTGGACCCTCTACACCGACGGCTCCTCCGCAACCAAAGCATGCGGGGGAGGGGTAGTCCTCGTTACTCCCGAGGGCTTCAAGGCCTACTATGCAATCCGCTTCTCCTTCAAAGTCTCCAACAACGAGGCCGAGTATGAGGCCCTCCTATGTGGCCTTCGGCTGGCTGCCAACATGAAGGCTCGGCAGATCCATATCAAATGCGACTCCAAGTTAGTCGTTGGCCAAATCTCCGAGGAGTATGAGGCCAAGGAGGGAAGAATGAAACAGTACAAGGAGGCGGCCAAGGAGTTGCTTAAGGTATTTGAGGCACACTCTCTCACTCAAATACCGAGGTCTTAGAACTCCGAGGCCGACATACTATCTAAGCTCTCGGTCGAATCCCCCGAGCACATCTCTAAGATTGCCAAAATTGAGGAACTCAGTCTCTCAAGTATCCATGCGAGCCCCGTCATGAACATACAACAACGCCAAGAGGACTGGATCTCAGATATCATCACCTTCATCTCCACAGGGCAGCTACCCGAAAATGAGACCCGCGCTAAACTAGCAAAGCTGAGGGCTCCTAGCTACACCATCGAAGACGGAAGGCTCTACAAACGGTCTTACAACGGCACGCTACTTCGGTGCCTTCATCAAGATGAAGCCGAGGTCGCAATGGAGGAAGTGCACAGTGGCACTTGCTCAGCTCACCAGGGACCCTTCTCCATGTCCCGAAGGCTCATTCTCCAGGGCTACTTCTGGCCAACCATGGCCAGGGATTGTGCTGACTTTGCCCGAAGGTGCACCGCATGCCAACATTTCCAGAAAACCCCGGCAGGGCAGCGATCAACTATGCCCCCATCAGCACATTCGTTCCCTTCTCTCGATGGGGGATAGACCTTGTGGGCCCTCTGCCGAGGGGTACCTCCAACAACAGGTACATCATTGTGGCCATCGACTACTTTACCAAGTGGGTGGAGGCTGAGCCCCTCGCCAGCATCACAGAGGCGAAGTGCCGTCACTTCGTCCTCAAGAACATCCTCACAAGGTTTGGCGTCCCCCAGCAGATCATCTCCGACAACGGAACACAATTTGAGGCAGCCCCCTTCTGTGCCCTCCTGGAGGCATGGGGCATTAAACACACCTTCTCCTCCGTTGCCTACCCTCAAGGTAACGGGCAAGTAGAGAACGCCAACCGGATCTTGCTCGAGGGCCTAAAAAAGAAGCTGGAGGCCGAGGGTGGTGGCTGGGTAGAAGAACTCCACAACATCGTTTGGGCCTACCGCACCACCCCTCGGCGAGCAACAGGTGAAACACCCTTCTCCCTGTGCTACGGGTTTGAAGCCAAAGCTCCTACGGAAGTCACCCTTCCTACCCGAAGGGTGATCCAATATGACCCCGAGGTCAACGACAACAACATGGCCCTCGACCTCCACCTCCTTTCAGAACGCCGGGAGCAAGCCTTCATCCGGGCAGAAAGCTACCGAAGGCAAGTCAAAGGCTACATCGACGCCAAGGTTCGCACCCGAGAATTCCAAGTGGGGGACTATGTCCTCCGGATGAGGGAAGCCAGCCAACCGACCGAGGGAGGCAAAATGGCACCAAAGTTCGAAGGTCCCTACATCATAGCAGCCATCATCAAACCTGGGACTTACAAGCTCAAACGCCCCAACGGGAAAGAGGTCCCTAGGCACTGGAATGTACACCACTTAGTTAAATTTTATCAATAATGTAAGAGCGGCCAAGCCCTCATAACTAGTGAATGTACTATCCTATGGCCCAAGCCCTCACCACTAGAAGAACCCCCTCCGACACCAAGTGCTGAGGGCGGACACCACCAACACCTCCAACAACAGTGAAAACACCAAGTGTTTTCGAACAAGACCCCTTGGTACCAAGTACCGAAGGTGGGAACTCCCATCACCGGCAACAAGAAACACCAAGTGTTTCATTTCAAGACCCTTCGGCACCCAGTGCCGGGGGTACACATCTCCACCATCAACATCAAAAAGAAGAAGAACACCAAGTGTTCCTACAGAAGACCCCTCGGTACCAAGTACCGGGGGCTATATGTCGAGACTAACACCAAGTGTTGTTTCTAAAGCTGTACCCCACGAGGACGCATATACCGAAAGCGCCACCATCGGTGCCGGCGGCACGTAGTGCCCCCGGCCATTTGCAACTAGTGTGCAAATGAAAACCCTTCCTTGAAACGCTTTCCGCGTCACTACCCCCAGGGTAGGACATGCAAGTTATATGCCCAGGATTCGACTTTCAAAAACGGAACGCTTTCCGCGCCATTACCCCCAGGGTGTGGCAGGCTGCGGGCTTTGCTTGACGCCGAGGATTCGACTTCCAAACCGAAACGCTCCCCGCGCCATTACCCCCAGGGTGTGGCAGGCCGCGGACTTTGTCTGACGCCGAGGGGACGACTTTCAAAAATGAGGCGCTTTCCGTGCTATCTCCCAAGGGGAAGCAGGCTACAGGCTACGTCTTATGCCCAAGAAACGTCCCTCGATCCCCTCGTAATTCGGAAGGTTAACCCGAGGGAGGAGAGCCATTGGTGTATTCTGATGGTCTCCTGATAGGCCCAGCCTTACCAAGAAACCAAGTTTCTTGATGCCTTCCCTTCACCACCAACCAAAAAAAAACAGAGGGGGTGAAGGGGAGTAGACTCATCGAGAAATCAATGAGTACAACACTCCAACAAATCACAACATACCGGGGGCTCCCTACGGGAACACCTCCGGTAACTGAAGGCTCCTATTCCCCGAAGGTTACTACTCAACAATACAAAGGGATTGGACTGTCTCAAGTGCACTAAACGGCTAAGTTCACTTCAAATAAATGCTGAGGGCACCTACCATCGGTCATCCATTGCTACCGAGGGGTCCTATCCTGTAAAAGGGGATGCAACTGACTAAGGCAGTTCAACAACCCTTCACGTGAATGCCGATGGCACCTATATCCCACCAGCATTCACTACAACATCAATGTCCTACAAATTTTCCTAAGTCCACACTTTCGGAAAATGACAACAGCCGGAGGCTCACATATCACCCAACAACCGAAGGCATCTATTACAAATCATCAAAGGCCAACCAAGGGGGCTTATTCCAAAATAATGTCGCCCTCGGGAAATCTTAATTGGAAAACACTACTAACCGAAGGCTACACAAGGAAGCAACACTTAGAAAATTTTCTAAGTCCTGAAGATTGAGCCCCCGGCCTGATCAATATTTCAACTGAGGGACCATGATAGCTGAAGGCTACGTGATGCAACAGCACTTAGAAAATTTTCTAAGTCCTACATATTTGGCCCTCGGTCAAATATTCACACATCAGGAAGGAGGCTACCAGTCGAGGGCTCCCAATGGGAAAATACATTTAGAAATTTTTCTAAGTCCTAAGGATTGGGTTCTCAACCTAATCATCTCACAACAATTGAACTACAAACACCCGAAGGCCCTATGGTGTGCTACACTTAGAAAAATTTTCTAAGTCCTAATAACATGGCTTTCGGCCATCACTAAGCTACCACACATTCATACACAAGAGAAGAAAGGCCCGAGGGCTAACATTCATCCATCAATCATCAAAAGCAGAAGTAAATGTGATTGTTACAATGATGGCCAAGGTCGAAAGCATACAAATGTGACCATTACAAAGTGTGTTCCAAATATTTGCCAAGTACAGATTACACGTCAAACAACATCATTCCCGGAGGCGTCCTCTACTACAGGCTTAGACGCGGCATCATCCCCGGGTTCTTCCTCTTCGTCGCTGCCCTCGGCCATCAGCACAGAGTCTTCCAAATCAGGCCTCTCAACACCTTCAGGGAGGGGAACCCTGGGGTCTGGCTGAAGGGAAGGGAGACCATAGGATGCCGGGTCGAAGGCCTTCGGGTCCACCCCAAGATGCCGGGACAGCCTTTGATATACAAGGGCCTGAGTAAAGTACTCACCCCCGTCATAATACTCTTTGCCCTTTCGGGCCAGCCACATCGCGCCTGGGCCTTTCACCCATTCGTTCACCGAAGCCTCCACTACCGAAGCCACCCATTCCTTCCGGCCTTCGGCTCTCCATCCCTCCTCAGCAAAAGCGGCAACAGCGTCCTCCCAGGCTTGGGCGACGGCTTTGTTCTGGGCCTCCTCGGCATCCTTTGCGGCCTTCTTGGCAGCTTCGGCTGCCGCCTTCTCCGCCTCTGCCTTGCCTTCGGCCCTGGCCGCCGTCTTGGAGCTCTCGAGGATTTTATTAAAAGCCTCTTGCTCAGCCTTGAGAGCTTCCTCGGCCTCTTTGAGCTGCTTTCGGGCCTCAGCCAATGCTTCATCGGCTTTCTTCTTCTCGGAATCATACTGCTCCATCCTCTGGACCAGCTCGCCAAGGCCAAGGCTTGCCTGGAAGCAAGTATAAATTATCGAAGGTTAAGTCACTACACACATAAAGAATTAAATTATCTGCAAAAGAGAAGGAAGGAACCTTACCGTAACCGAGGCCATCAGAACCTTGGAGCAGAGGACATCATCGGCATGACGGGAGAGCACAGACTTATCGGTCGGAGGGGTGGCACCCCTAAAAAACTCCTTCGGGTTCAGGGTCCCGTGCATGATAGCGGTTCCCTTCGTGATGGAGAATTGGACTTTGTCCTGGGGCCATGTCAGACCAGCAGCTTGACCCGAAGGCTTGGGGGAAGAAGATTCATCTACAATCACAACGGGGGCTTCCTTCAACTCTGGGCCCCCCTTCTTCTTCTTCTTCTTCTTCCCCTCCGGCTGCGCCGGGTCCTTCCTCAGTCTCTTCCTCTTCAGCTCCAAACCGGGGGAGCCTCCGACGGCGGTCTCCACGATGGGCCCTACCTCCTTGGACTCGTCGGCTGCTCCCGCCTTCGGGAATATCTCGTCAACCGCCCTCTGCTGTGCGGGGGCCTCCTTCTTCTGGTCTTCCTTGGCGAGTTGCCTCTTCAGCTTGACAAGGTTCCGGGCGTCCATATCTGGTCCTGAAACAAAAGAAGGCACACAAGAGTTAGTTTACTACTACAACAGAGCAAGGGAAAAATTCTAAGTATGAAAATTAAAGCCCTCGACATTGCAACAACCTTCGGCGCTCTCATATACACGATCAATCGTGGGGTAGCCTTCCTCTTTCTCCCCCATCAGCCGATACCGACGGAAGCCAAGCTTGTACAACTCACTAGAAAGCGTTGCGTCTTTGATGGACACGTGCTTATCAGACCCCTCCGGTTTCTTGGACAACTCCCGCCCATTTTTCTCGAGGGCATACCCTTCTGCCTTCAGGTGCCTCCGAAACCTATCACCAAGCGGAGCGGAGAAAGGGTTCTCGGCCAGACGGATGTAGCAGAACTTATCTTTCCACCCCTTGTGAGACGAAGGTGCCTCGTCGAAAATCCTGAACTTCGGGAGCTGCTGCAAATTACCATAGCCCCCGGCATTCGAATGACCCCCCCGACACAAGTTGAACGACATAAAGAATTGCTCCAGAGTAAAGGGACCTTTCGGCTGAGGCACGACGACAGGAACCCTGCCAGGTATGAGTGACTGTTCGGGGTCAACTGGCAGGGGGCTAGCTTGACGAAGCGAAGGTATTCCAACACGAAGGGATGAAGGGGAAATCTGAGACCCAGTTCCACCGAAAGCAGATGTACGACAAAACAGCCCTCAGGGGCACGGAGGAGCACATCATCCGGCTTGGCTCTACCACCTGCGCCGAAGGTCCAACCAAAAACTGTGTCGCCATCATCTCCCCTCGGGTAGCTTTGTTTTTAACCTCCAAGGCGGCCGTATTCAGAAAAGAGTAGCCCTCAGGCAGTCCCACTGGCTGGCCAGCGTCGACGGCAGCTTGCTTCTTCTTCGGAGCCGTCCTCGTCTTCTTTCTCTTCTTTCCTGGGGCCACACTGAGGGGTACGACGTCAAGAGGCCGGGAGCTCCCAGCTTCGGTATCACGCCGAGGAGGAGGGACAGCTACAGTCACCTTCAGGCCCTCCTTCTGGGCCTCGTCCTCAGCCACCTGATAGGCAATGGCAAGCTCTTCATCCGCATTCACCTACTCGAAGTCTTCGGCCTCGAGTTCAAGCCGAAGGTCATCCTGTATCGCCTCGGCTACGGCCCTGTCGTCAATGACCGAGAGCTGCTCGCTTGAGGATTCCACGTCAGACGCCACTTCGATGTTCACTGGAGCCTCCCCCGAGATGTCTTGGGAATCACTAGCTGACGACATTACTTCTAAAAGGCGAGGGGTCGAAAAATTCGCACACAGAAGGGTTCCTGAACAGTCCTAAAGCCTAAACCTAAGGCCGGAAAGCTAAGTACTCAAATAGAGCTAAGGACAGAAGGAGAACTAACCTCTGAAACTTGGTTTGACCGAAGGCTGGAGTTTCTCTCTCTAGAAATTTTGGCAGAGCTTCGCTAACAGTATGATCGCACAAAGACGAATGGCCTTGGCCAGGGGTATTTATAGGCGCCCAGATCCGGGCTTGGGCCCAAAAAACCGGGCCCCGGCAAAAGGTCATCATTACACGCCGTGTCTTCGCCCAACCGGTGACGCCGCCCACGGGCAGCCAACCATCACGCGCCACGTGTACCCCCCCTCCAACGGTCACATTACAACGGCTATATTCTGGGAACCTGAAGGTACGCCCTCGAGTAAACGCTCCTTCATCAAATAAAGAGGTAGTCCCTGGGCTTCCCTCCTTCGCTCCACCTCACAAAGGGGACCCCCCAGGCTCACAACTGGCAGACCCCTCGGGTATCCTCCCCCCTCCAACACGTTAATTTCCAGGCAGCCCCCGGGGAATATCACTCCATCAACAAGCGCGCCCCCGACACACAGGTAACGGGACCCTTCGGGTACTCCCCTCATCAACTAAATAAGAAAAGACGTGAAGCCTTCGGGATCTTCACAGCTACTATTTACGTTTATCACGCCCTCAGTCCCATGGATTGAGGGACTCTACTTCGACGCCTCCCAGAATATCAACGACGTGCCTTCAGCAATACAACAAAGACGCCCTCAAATCATGCGAACCTTCGGCATCAACATTACACTTCACTTTAGACCAGGGTTTAACCTTTTCAATTCATCATTGGGGAAATTCGGTGCACTCTTTTTCCCTCATTAGGATTTTTTCCCACAGGGTTTTTCCTAATGAGGTTTTTAACGAGGCATCCCCCCAAAATGATACGAAAAGCGTTAGCCTTCGGCCCCATGCTACAACGGACTAAACTCTACTCCTTTTCACCACTTTACAAGTGCCTCAAGGAGTGGGAGACTGGAGAACCCCTTCGGGAAAATAATTAAATTACAAAATGGTGAAAAATTCCAACAAACGGCAAAGCAATCCCTCAAGTCCCGACATGTGGGTAACTGAGGGACTGCCTTCGGCAGGGACATGCAAGCAACAACTCCTCACCAACTTCAGAGATTACAACGGGACAACATCAAAGGGCAAGCACAAATTACTCCTTTTCCCTCAAGTACCTTTTGGCAAAAGGAGTGAGGGACTCCTGATGGAGTATATGGCCCGGGAACCCCCGGCCCACAGACTCCTACTACTCCAATCAAGGCCCAACAGGCCCAAATCACAGTGCCCAGAGTACCAAGCAGCCCACAAATGCGCACCAGGGGTGCCTTCGGCCCTTGGCCGAAGGCTCTAACTCTCACAGGAGGGCCAAGACAGCAAAACAAAGTTACTGGGAAAAACGGCAAAAATCAGTAGCCCTCGGCACCTGGAGCCCTCGGCACCAAGGGGTCCCCAGTACTCAGAGCCCTCGGCTAGTCCTCTACAGCCGAGGGCACCTTTCCCGACATGATATCCGCGCCACATGCGTACAGGTCACCGTACCCTGTACAACGTCCCATCCAACAGCCGCATTAAATGCGGCCACATGCGGTTGCCAGCGCCAACCAGTTGAGGTGACCCCTCGGCCAATAAACGCTTGACACGTGTCCCTGTCCGGCATTTATTGCTACTATAAATAGCACCCCATCTCCCCATTTGTAACCACGCTGAAAACGCTCCACACTTTATAATATACTTTTTCTCTCTATACTTGCTTGCTCTGACTTCTCTCTTATCACTCCCCGTAATAACCCCTCGGATAAGCTACCCCCCGGGTACACTATCCATCAAATCTCAACCGTTAGATTTACGATATTGCACTAAAAACAGCTTCATGTTGCAGTAAGATTTATGTTTTGCAATGTTGCACTAAAATTGTTCCATGTTGCACTAATATTTGATGATGTTATGAGAGAGAAAATTTATCCGCTCAATTGTTAGCAGGCTTATCTTATAACTAAAAGCACCAAATATAAGAGAGAAAATTCTTCCACTAAATTGTTAGTCGGCTTGTCATATAGAACTGTGTATGAGGGAAAAAGTACTCCCGCTCAATTGTTATTATACCTAAAAGCACTACATATGACTATATGAGTGAGAAAAATATTCTGATTTTTAGCTCACGCATGAGCAGGAACGAGAGCTAAGTCACAGGTTGGACTAGAGTGATTATGCCGGAAGGGGCTTACCTTCCTTGTTTCATGTTGGGGGCGTTAGGTTACTCTTTTTCCCTTTATTAGGATTTTTTCCCACTGGGTTTTTTCCTAGTAAAGGTTTTTAATGAGGCACCTCCCCATCATGAACAAGGGTGGTGGTCCCTGGCTGAAGAGGAAGAAATCAAAGACAGAAGAACGTTGCTGATACAGTTTGGACTACTCCCTTTCGCCTCGAGAACTCTCGACTCAGGGAGTGGGGGACTCCTGATGGAGTATATGGACCCCGACCCCCGGCTTGCCGACTATTGGGCTTGGACAACGGCCCACACACGTTTAGTGGATTCATATTGTTGTACATTATTATTTAGATGTTATAGATTAGCTTTTCATACTATAAGTCCATTTATGTAACCGGGTCTGTCAGGCCCGTATTAGAGGCCCAGACCCGGATTTCCCTATATATACTCCTTATAGGAGGCTTGTAAAGAACACACACAAACTCACATTCAATACACTTATCTTCTTCTTCTCCATTTCCCTACTACATTCTTGTTCAAATCTCCTTTTCATACAATATGGGTATCAATTATCCAACAATGGTGCTCTCGTTGAGAGGTTTGAACACAATCAAGTGAGAAAACCTCCCGCAAACAACCAAAAATTCATCCCAAACACGAAAAAAAAACCAGCCAAAAAAAAAACTGTTCTGAATTCTACAAAAAATGATATCTGGAAATTTCCAGATCTGGAGCATTCTCGGTAACATCCAGACTGCAGCAGAACCGGCCAACCTCAGTAGTCACGGTGAAATGGAAGAATCTCGTCTGAGCCCAATGGATCTGAGGAAGCAAGCAGACCTGATGCAGCCAGGCAACCAGTAGCATGGATACGACGGCCAATTAGCTCACTAGCAGCTAACTCCTTGATCTAGCTGGGTGCCGCTCGCCCATCCACCATGCTAGCAGCCGCTCCACCTCTCCATTAATGGTGGTTCGAAGTTCTTGAAACCCATGTTTTACAAGCTAGGGCCGTTTTCTTCATCATCACTTCCGTCAAGCCGGATGAGGGATTATCAGCAGTAGGTCCCTCTTTCTTCAGACTGTAAACAGCGACGGGAGGACTGGAGGAGCTTTCCACTTGCCGGTTGAATCTTCAGCGAGTTTCTCCGGTAGGTAGCGACTATGGACGAAGTCCCCTCTAGCAAATCGACCCCTCCAGCCAAGCTGTGAGTC